CTTATACCAGTGTTTCTCAAACTTGCACCTGTAGATGTTGTATTGTTTGTTTGAGTTGCAGGGAGATGCTGAGAGTCCTCTAAAGAACCTCCCATGAAAGTCTGTGAATGTGTAGTCTGAAGGGCCTTTGAATTCTCAGGTTCAGGAAACTCAGACGTGGCCCTGGACTCCTCTTGCCTGGACTCGAGGTAACTGCCTTGTCCTGCCTAGGCCAAAGATGCATCTGGGCGCCATATGTGATCCAGAGCTTCCCATGGCAGCATGTGGTGCTCTTTTTACTACTGAAACTTTTGATTTTTATTTAGAGCTGATTTTTTTTTTCTTTTGAGAGAGTCTCCCTCTGTCATCCGAGCTGGTGTACAGTGGCTTGACCACAGGTCACTGCAGCCTTGATCTCCCAGGCTCAAGCAATCGTCCTGCCTCAGACTCCAGGCATGCACCACCACACCACGCTAATTTTTCAAAATTTTTTTGTAGAGATAGGGTCTTGCTATGTTGCCAGGGCTGATCTTGAACTCCTGGGCTCAAGTGATCATCCTGCCTTGGCCTCCCAAAGTTTTTTTTGTTTAAGCAGCTGTATTGAGATATAGTTCACATATGGCCCATTTAAAGTATACAGTTCAGTGATTTTTAATGCATTCACAGATATGAACAACCACCACCACAGTCCATTGCAGAACATTTTTATCACTCCAGAGGAAGCCTGTACCCTTTAGCTATCCCCTTAGCCTCAGCCTCTCCCTCCCCACCAGCCCAGGTTTTAGACAACCACTAATTAACTGCCTGGTTAATGGATTAATAAGAAGAGGCTATAGATTTCCTTATTCTGGACATTTCCTATAAATGGATCCATAAGCTACATGCATTCTACTGTGACTTTTTAGGATTTCACTTTCCCCTCTGATAACTGAATCTTCATCCTGGACAAAGGATGCTGGCATAGACTGGGTGCTTTTCTATTGCCTCCTTTAATTCTCCCCACCTCTTTGGAAAGCTAGCCTTATCAACCCCATTTTACAGTTGAGAGCACTGAGGTTCGGAGGTTAAATGACTTGTCAGAGGCCCCAGAGACAGTGAGTGGAAGCATGCTGAACAGGGAGGGGTACCTGGCTCTGTCTGGCTGTATTCACTGAGCTGCTGCTGTGCTAACTGCTGAAGTGGGGATCGGATGGGGGAATAAAGACAAAAAGTCTACCAGCAGCTTGCATGAGTGGGTCCTCCCGGAATGAGTCCAAGGGAGCTCCCTGGACCAGAGCAGGACAGAGTTAATTCCAGGAACAACTGCAATTTGACCACAGGTTGGAGTGAATCTCCCCCTTTCACTGCATCTCCACGAGGCAGAGGAAGTGATAGTGGTCTAAGCTCTCAGATACCTGGTGCTCTGGGAATATGCCAGATAATTATGGCTATTGTCACTACCAAGCCCTGTCTTTTCATCTGCTTCAGTGTCAGGCCCTGGGACCCAGAGACACATCCCATACCCAAGCTCCAGCTTCATGGAGCTTCAGAATCAGGATCTGCTACATCCACTGCAGGGAACTTATCATCTCATTATAAAGGATAAGGCATATTTTTTCAGTATGGTTATATGCGGTAATGAAGCATGCAGAAAACCACACAAGATAGATGGCAGCTTTCACTAGTGAAGCTGAAAACTTGGTTAACTTAATAGTCTATTTATTACATTCACTCTCTGAGCTTACAGCACCTGATTAATATCTCCCATCTTCTCCCTTGCTATACAATTAAAACTAGTAATATGTGATTGCACATGCTGGCTCCAGCACAGATGGGTATGTGGAGTTGGAGGCTGACATAAGAAGTGGAGAAGAAGTGTTCTTCCTGGGTCACGATGGTGGAGTCAGATCCCTTGCAGGTTCAATAAGAGCTGCGCTAAGGGAGGGATCTTACAGAATTAGTTACACTTGAGGAGAAAAGAACCCTTTGTGCATCGCCCAGTCTTACCCTTTGCCATCCCTTCTGGCGGGAGAGTGGTGAAGCCTGCACAGAGAGAGGATATCAGTGGAGGTGGCCATACACCTTTCAATCAGCAAAAGGAAGGATGGCTGGACTTTACCTCGGTTGCTCGGAAGAGAACGTTTGAGGTTGAATTGGATTACAATGATGTAGCTACTCAAAAGCCACTCCCAACTTCCTGTTCCCCTGCCCGCCTAGTCCTGAAGATCTGAGCGTTTGGCCAGGTTCTGGCCAATGAGATGTAAGGAGAGCTCTGCTGAGGGGTTTCTGGAAAAGATGCTTTGCTTTTTGACAAAATGGCAAGGCACACTATGAGGACTTGATGGCGCTGCCCTCTTCCCCTTTTTCCTGAAAGTGGATGTGATACTTGAGTTTTGGCTGCCATCTTGTGAGCATGAGGATGAAAACGGAACATGTTATGGATGGTGGAGAATCACCAGGGAGATCCTGGGTTCATGATTACATCACTCAGCTGGCAGCCCAACACTGGGGTCATCTACTTCTGGACCTTTTGTTAAGCAAACAAAATATAGCCTTATGGTTTAAGCCAGTTAGAAGGGCATTATGTTCTTGCAGCTGAGAAATATGCCTAAATAATCTAAATGGCTCCATTTATTGAGCAGCTTGTGCATGTCCTTTGCTAAGTGCTCTGTGTTCATTTTGAGGGTCCAAAACATGTTCCCTTTAAAGGAGCTACCATGACCTCCATTTTATAAGGAAGGACACGAGTTTAAGTGTATAAGGTCACACGCCTGTTCCAGGAAATAGGAGAGCTAAGATTTGAATCCAAGTCTTTATGACTAGAGAGTTATTATTATTAATCATAATATTGTGACTTTATAGACAGTTCACCTCAACATTGAACTCTGGAAATAAGTGTTAAAATCTGGTTGACATAATAGTACTCAGTATAAATCAAGAAGTTTTTTTTCCACATGACCCACTAAAATAAGGTGAAATTCAGTCTTACTGGTGATTGGAAATTGCATACTTTTACCTGCCACAATCCACTACAAATAGTCCAAACAAGACTCAGTTATTTACAGGTTGAAATTAGATAAGCTAACCCAAACTGTCCCAGCCAACTGAATGGTCAAAGAGTGAAATGTATGTGAAGGGAAAAGGTCCCAGAGAGAGAATTTGAGTTAAAAGACTACCAACCTGAGCCTGTGTGCAGCATAGCTTTTGAGTACAAAGCAGGAAGCCTCTCCTTCTGCGGCATTTGAAGACTCAGAGCAAGGTAAAAATGGCTTTGAAGCCTGAGTCTGGTTCTCTCAGAAACCCTTCTGTTTCTTCTCCTCATTAAAGAAACAATCCAAGAGTACAATTGTTCTTTGAGATGAATTTATCAAAACACACGTAAACTACTTGAGACTATTCCAATTCCTGGAGGTGCCTAGTCAGTGCTGGCCATGTAACAGATGCTCAGTAAAGATCGGTTGCCTTCGTGAGCAGTGAGGGCAATAGAAAAAAAAAATATCTTAATGAATATGATTCATCCTTCTAGCCTCAGTGAAAAGGCAAAAAATAGGCTGCTTTCTTGGTAATATGCCAGCCAATGGTACTTAGCATGCAAGGGACCACTATTGATCCACTCCCATTAGCCCAATGCTCATCAACTCTTCTACTGGAGAGATATATATATATATGGCCAGCAGCCAACAGAGGGACTTGGCCACATGCTGATTGCTGATTCTCTCTCCTCTCCCATCCCATTGGACCATTATTCAGCAGAAGGTAGAAGAGTCTTCCCTTCCCTCTTCCCTTTGGGGCAGGAACTATCTAGAGAGGGGAAAAAAGTCAGGATAAACATATGCAAGGACTGGGGTTTAAACATCCCATGAAGATTAACTTATCTGCAGTAATTGCCTTAACTAGGGGATTTTTAATGCTTTTCAAAGTTTCTTAGAGGAAGAAAAATATGCAGAATGAGTCTTATAGCAGCCAACAGAGGAGATACTTAGAGCAAAAAAAAGGTATCAACCATAAGAAGCCCATAGCTAGGAAATTTTAAGGCACTGATTCTAGGGGATTTAATAAGAATGTAATTTGTATAATTAACCATTCATCAATGTCAATTTCATTAAATGAATGCCAGAAATATTACCTTCAGCAGCACGACATAACAGGATTGGAATATATTATATGAAAAATGAACACTTAGTGGTTTCCCCCACTGCTCTGTCTGTCACAGCAAGATTTGCAAGGCTGAGAAATAATTTAAAGGGTAGTAAATGAAACCGGCTAAGGCAAATGTGTGCATTTTGGTAACTAACCTCCATCATGATGTATGAGGGTTCATGTCAAAACGTTTTCCTTCAGCAATGACTAAAGGGACTTGTAGCTCCCTCCCAGGTGGCAAAATGTGAGAAATAATGCCAGGAGCTTCCCAAGGGTGCCCCTTGTCACCTGCCTGGATACAGCTCACTCTTTTCCTAGATAGGCTGCCTAGGGTTTAAGACCAAAAGCCGTGGGGTTTTGTGGCCAGAATTTGTAGACCTTCCCTTCACACCTCCAGAGTAGCCTTACATCCAATAACTTGCCTATCTGTTCAGGAAAAGTGATGATTGATGTGGAGGAGAAAGAAATCATTTTGAGTTTTATTTATGTTATTGCCTACAGTCATCAGGGGAGCACGAAGCTAGAGGTAGGTGGGCTGATGAAATATTTGTAAATAGGACTTATTTCCAAGGTTACTCATGAGGGAGGCAGTTTATGGGGATTTATCCATTTCAGTTCATCATAGGAAAAGTGGAGGACTGGGGGGAGCTATAATAACTTGTCCATGTGTGTGCTCCTGGGAATGTATATGCAGACAGACACAAACACACACACACACACACACACACACACACACACACACACACACCCCAGATCAAGCACACACTGGAGGTCAGTGCTAAAGCCTTGCAAATTGTCACTGGAGTTGGCCTGGGGCCTTGTGCATAGCAGGTGATCAATAAATATTTGTTTAATTGAATTTCTCTTAGTGTTAACTCCACTCCCATTCTCTTCTGGTTCAGGGTTCTGTGAGGCTGATAATATTGGATTAGTATTCCTGAGGAATCTACCTTTCAGAATCCCAGGCCTTGAGGGACAAGAAATACTTTGCAAACAAATCAAATGTACATTTAGAAAAATGAAATCATGCAACAGAAAGATTTTTCAGAATTTTTCAGCATCTGATTTTACAGACAATCCAGAAGGAAGAAAGAACATATAAGTCTGGGAATCAGGAGACCAGATGTCAAGGCTGGACTACATCTTTATATTCATTTTCAAATTTAAAGTTCATGTCATATTTCATTTGATGCAAAGCAATAAGGTATTATTTCCTCATGTAAACAGTGAAAAGGTCATATGTAGGACCTGGGTGAAGGAAGAGTGGGCATCACAGAGCTGCTGTGGAGTGTGTGCCCAGATTCTGTGTAGCAGGTCTGTGGGCTCTGCAGGTCACGAAATCAGTTGCTGACATGCTTCTTAAATGTGTTCCCTTCTATGCATCCCCATAGTCACTCTCTCTTCCTTCTAGGTTAGAATGGGTGACACTGGGCACGTTACCTATCCTCTCTGAATCACGGTTTCCTCATCTGCCAAATGAGGATGGTAATGTCCTCCTCCCAGGGTTGCTGGGAGGATGGAGTGAGATGAACCTGGTGATACCAAGTAGGTGTGGAATCCATTTTGTTTTTTCCTCTCGCTCCTCTCTTTCAGGTCTTTTCTCCCTCAAATGAGTGATGACCTCTGAGTGCTGAGCTCTTTTGTCCATTTTTTAAGACAGTGGTCCCCAACCTCTTTGACACCAGGGACAGGTTTCATGGAGGGCAATTTTTCCATGGACCTGGGTAGGAGGTGGTTTCCGGATGAAACTGTTCCACCTCAGATCATCAGGCATTAGCTAGATTCTCGTAAGAAGCACACATTCTAGATCCCTTGCATGCGCAGTTCACACAGGGCTGGCACTCCTAGGAGAATCTAATGTCTCTGCTGATCTGACAGGAGGCAGAGTTCAGCAGCATGCTCACTCATGCACCTCGTGCTGTGTGGCCTGGTTCCTAATAGGCTGTGGACTGGTACTCCGGGGTTGGGGAACCCTGTTCTATGAGGACAGGAAATCTGGTAAAGTAATTCACCCTAAGATGCCATTAAATTACTATGACCTACTGGGCTCAAGCGATCCTCCCACCTCAGCTTCCCAAGTAGCTAGGACTTCAGGCACGCACCACCATGCCTGGCTAATGTTTTTGATTTTTAGTAGAGAAGAGGTGTCACTATGTTGTCTAGGCTCGTCTGCACTTCCTGAACTGAAGTGATCCTACCTACAGCTTCAGCCTCTCAAAGTGTTGCAATTACAAGTGTGAGCCACAGCAGCAGCTTACTTAGTTACTCTTTAGGGGTATTAGTGATATTAAGAAAATATAGCAGGGAGAGATTAATGTTTAAGATTTAAAGAGAAAAAGAGTAGAACTCATGATAGAATTTCAGATAGCTTTCCTTTTTAGAGATAAGAATTAATGTCAAGCCCTTTGATCCATATTACATGAACACCATGACCTACATTTTCTCGCCCCAAAACTGGGACATATGGGGTGACAAGAGTTCTGGGAGCCACTTCCAAGGGCATGAACCAAATCTGGAAGGCACAGTTGAGGTTGAAGTACTAGAATGTGTGGATAGTCTGATGGTTTGCAAGTAAGTGGGATAGGCCATGGGGTCTCTGGACAGCTCCCCAGATGGCTGTGGCCCACAAAGGGAAACACTGTCCCATCCGACTCTGAGAAGTGGGTCTGGGCATCCACTGTTTTCACCGAGGGTCTCTGGGTGACTTTAGGAAAGCCACTAGACCTCTCTAACCCTCTGTTTCTTATCTGCAAAATGGGAAGAGTAAGGGCACCCATCGTGGAGAGCTGCAGGAGGATAAAGGAGATTTGGTAGATTTCCTGACACACAGCGGGTGTTCCATCAATGCTCATGATTGGCCAGGGCATTGGTGGCAGAACCACAGGGATCACAGAGACCTCAGGAACATGGGTCTGAAGTTCAGAAGCTGAAAACCAGTGTGCTGATATTATCCTTTTTGTCTATGAGGAGTGAATGTCTCCAATTAGGCTCCATTCAGCAGGCCTGGGAGCCTCCTCTTTCTTGGGATGCAAACTGCTCATGGAGTAGAATCAGGAAGCCATCTTGAAACCTTGGCCAGGCCCCAGACACATGTGGGTCCACCTACCTTCCATCTACCAGGGTCACTGAGTCACTCCTACCCAGGTCCCCTTTCAGGGACTGTCATGGGCTGTAGCCTCAGAGGTCCTTTGCAGGGTGTGGGATCCAGGGCCCAGGGTTTGGCTGCAGGCTTTTGGGCAGCTCCACCTTGATTCTGAAGGCAGTTTAGCATGGCGCTGCCTCTTCTGCTGATAGCTGTGAAGCTGCTGCCTGCTCAGTGGGATGGCATCTTGGGTAGCACCTTGGGCAGGGCCGACGGGAAGGAAGTGTGTGCAATATGGGGGGAGGGGTGGGCTGGAGGAGGCTGCAGACACAAGTCTGTGCCCCTTCTGGGAAAGCCCCTGAGCTTGCTGGACTCATTTCTGCCCTTCTGAAGAAGATTGGGGCTTTCAACATTGCTGATATTTTGAACAGCAGAATCCTTATCATAGATTAGATGGAAACAAAGAAATGATACATAAAAATACCCTGAAACAAAACTTCCTGGTTAAACTGGCTTCCTTGCACCCCCAAAGTACTCCCAAGGTGCCTCCACAAAGCCTCAGGGCTCTGAGGGTGTTAGGGAAACCATAGGTGTCCACGGTGCCTGCCATGCTATGATTTCATCTGGCTGAAGTGCCACTTCAGGGTTCTGATGAATTTCTCCTACCAGGGCTAGTCAGAATTGACTCACTGATGATCAGAAAAGAGAGAGGACACTCAGGATTAAATTGATTTCTTTGGGTCAGTCTCCTCCTTTGTCTGCACTTTTTGAAAAGGCATTTATGATGCCAGTCTGACTTATAGTTATCCTGGTAGGTACTGAAGCTTGTAAAGGCCACCTAATCGTTTTGCTTTGGTATTCATTAGTCATTTTACACCTCTAAAGAAAGGAAAGGTGCAGCAGGTTGCCTGCCTGTGTGGGAGGGGAGGGGTAGTGTTGGCTTGGACCACAGGGTAGGGGGGTGGGAGGATTTGGGGGGGACTTGGGAAGAGGAAGTTGATGGTCTGGTCACTAATGGTCCTCAGCAGGACAGCCTTCTTTGTCCTTGTCTTCCCCTCCCTTTTGTCTCCTTCTCTCTTCCTGTCTCCCTCATTTCTGGCTTCCCTGTTTTTCTCCTTCCTCTTCTCCTCCTCTAAGGTGGAAGTAACATTAGACACACATTCCTGTAGATGTTGGAATGTAGAAAGGCAGCTTGGAGGAAATACAAAGATGAAGGACATAGTCAATCTCTTCAAGGAGCTCATGGTCAAGCGTGCAACGGGACCTCGAAGAAACCCAGTGTGACGAGGATTGAGAGGTGTGCCCAGGATGTGCCCAGAGCAGAGGAAAGCCCCTCCTCTGCACCGGGGAGTCAAGGGCAGGGTGGCAGGTGCTTGGGGTCACGTGAACACACAATTAAGCAGCAAAACATACACAGGGCCTCTCTCACACCAAGCATTGGGTGGATTTTGTGCAGGAGAACTTCTTGAAGGAGGCCTGAGGATAGAAATTCTCTGGGAAGGAGTTGGATTAGCTGCCTTACCAGAGGGAGCGGGATTTCTCAGGCACCGCTAACTTCCCACCTCCACACAAACTGATGAGACTGGTTCAGAAAAGGGGTCTGCCCCCCGTGCATAATAATAGCAGTGATCATGAATAATCTATAGCTAATGAGATTAAATTAATAATTATTTTAATTATGACATGTTTTCCTCCTCTCTTCCCCTGCCAGGGCAGGCTTGGCGCTTCTGAGGATTACAGTCATAATGGTAACAGATAAACCTTAATTAAAACATTCCAAAATACCATGGCTGAGTTAAAGTGCTGTGACACGTTGTTTCCATCTCATTTTGAGCTCTTGCCTGTGATGGCGAATGTCTCCCCACCGTCGGCAGCATCTTGGCCGTTCAGAGCTGTTGCTCACACAGCATTCAGTGATGTTTCCCAGGGTGGCTCCACGGCCCTTGAGGCAGATGGCAGACCCATGGGATCGGGGCCACTCGGGCCTTTTCCTTCATGCTGGGCTCTTCACATGGCAACCCGTGCCCACTTGATGCTGCATCTGCTTCCCATGTGCACAGCTCACTCCTTTGTTCCACCGGCTCTGCCTCTGTTCCCATCACCTGCTTCTTCTCAGGCCATGGTAGACCTGAGGAAAGGATTCTTCACTCTGGCTCTGTTGGCACTGTTCCAGAGGTGTGAGCAGACCCTGCCTCAGGTGGCCTCTGAGTCCATCAGCAACTCCTTCCCTCTGGTCTGAGTTACTGGCTGGGGTCTCCGCTTTCTGCCTTCACATTGAGCTTCTCCTCCATAGCCCATCCACCTGCAGGGGCTTTCTCACGTGTGGCGCATGTGTGGAGGCAGGTCTCCATGGATTGTATGGCTTTCCCTAGGTCTGCTCCAGACTGGTGGCCTTTTTATGGTGGCTAGCATTCTTTTGTTAATCTAGTCACATATTTTCACTCATTACTAAACATTTATGAACCATTCTAGGCACTGTGCTTGGTGATGAGTTGCAGAGACAGAGGACACCACCCTATTTTTATAAGCCTCGTGGGCCCATGGAAGAGAATGGAAGATACACAGACAAAGGGAGGCCCGAGCTGAGTGTTCTGGTAGAGTCAGTGCTGGCTGGTGAGCGGGGAGGGCGGGGAGGGATTGTGTGTTCCTGTGTATGTGACCCTACACTGAATTATTTTATTTTATTTTGAGTCAGAGTCTCACTCTGTGGCACAGGCTGGAGGGCAGTGGCACAATCTTGGCTTACTGCCGCCTCCACCTCCTAGTTCTCCTGCCTCAGCCTCCAGAGTAGCTGGGATTATAGGTGCCTGCCACCACCCCCGGCTAATTTCTGTATTTTTAGTAGAGACGAGGTTTCACATGTTGGCCAGGATGGTCTCAAACTCTTAACCTCAAGTGATCCACCTGCCTTGGCCTGCCAAAGTGCTAAGATTACAGCTGTGAGCCACCATGCCCAGCCCCCACACTGAATTTTGAAACATAAGGATTTATCCACATGATAACAGGTGAAGGTCACACTGAGAAGAGTCACATTCCGAAGGCCTAACAGGATGACATCCCTGGAACTGCAGTAGAGGAGTGTGGCTGGAAGGCAGGACCATGAGGATGAGAGGCCAGAGGTGAGTCTGCAAGTGTGGTT